ACAGCCTCCCTGGGCAACCTGGGACAAAACTCAAACATCTGTAGGAGTGTCAAGTACAACTGAATCTCATCTCCCCTCCTGTTCCTGGACCCACCTGGGTGACACAGGATTTATACTCAGGAGAAAACACTGCTCAAGACAACATGACCTTCACTAGCTGCATTTTGCCATCGCCACAAGGGCCCAGGATGCCTTACTGAATTCACATCTCCATCAAATAACAGCAAATCTCACAAAGCTCAGCTGAGATTAAAAAGCAGCAAGAAATAAAATCCCCCAGTGGCAGTACCTTCACATCATTCTCTGGCCAGTTGTTCACAATTGACCTTATGTGGCCTCTGTCTGAGATGGAAATGAATAATCCTCTGAAAGAAAAGGAAAACAAAGAAATATTTTACCATTAGAAATTTCACTTTGCAGAATTAAGTGTCCAACAGGAGAATCTGCTTAAAATGTGAAGTTTATCACTGAGACAAATCACTCAGAGGACAATTTGTAGTAGAAAAGTGTGTTTGGCTGCTCCGAAACTCACGAGACATCAGGAAGAGCAAAAGTGAAACTCATGAAACGCCGTGAGAAGTAACAACAGTTTCCTTACGCGATATATGCGATGTGATATGTGTAACATGATGTGTGTCTTATGCAATACAGTGATGCTGCCTGAATTTCACACTGCTGCAGACACTGACCTTTAATGCCCCTCTGGGGTTAGCATCACCACGACACCATCTGTGCTCCCTTGTAAGGAGATGAGCAGGAAACATGACCCGAAGGACTTGGCTTTACCCTAGGGAACCTCCACCAGGTGCCAAGGCAGGGACTGAGCATTCTGCCTCCTCCTGCTTCCCACAGGGACAGCAAAGGAGCAGAGGTGAAGAGAGTTACCTGAATCTCTCCTGCCTGAGCAAACCCTCTACTGCCAGGATGAAAAGAGGCACAAAAGGCTGAGCCAAGGTGGTAACAGATACATTACCCACGCTCTGACAGTGCTGGTTCTTCGACAGAAAGGATATTCTGAGTTCCACCCTGAGTCACAGGAAAGAAACATCTCTATACAAGCCTGGGGACAGTTTTCAGACTGACCTACAACACACACAGAGATGAGCAAGAGGAAGGGAAGAGTGTGAGAGCGAAGAGCACATCTTTCCTGGCTCCTGGCCCAGATCAGGACTAAACCCAAGAGTTTCTTACTGCCTTATCAAAGCAGCCACATCCCCCTGGCAGCGAAGGACCACACACCACTAAAGCCCTCAAGTAAAAAGGCTCTAGAAACAAAACAAAACAAGGCTCCAAACTGCAGTGAGAGGCATAACAACTGAACTGGTTTGCCCAGCACAGAGCTGGAAACGGGCACAGTTGTCCTGAAACGAAACCAGGACCAGACATCTGCACCTAGGGTGCCAGAACTAGAAGAGCTGAGCCCTGGTGGCAGCCCAGCTGAGCCATGCTCTGCACCCACGTGTTGAGAATGGCTAAGGGAACAGGGGCACAGCCCCAAGAGAGAATTGTGTGAGCAAGAGTCGAGCAAAGGTCTATGGGAGCTTTGAGCATATAACTAAGAAGCAGGCCTCAGGAATTTAGCTTCTCAGCATTAGAATTTAGCTCCTCAGCATAATGTTGCAAGCCCAAGGATGAACTATCCTGGAGAACAAAAAAGGATTCTCCAGAGAATAAAGGAGACTTCTTCACAGCTGCAGCTGCAAGCAGAAAAAGTATATAAACATCACTTTTAGAGCTTAGGTAACGCTCTTAGGTAACGCTAAAGGATGGATAGGCACATTTATTGTGTACCATATAACAGAACTGAGCTCACAATAAAGTTGGAGCTTGCTCTATCACTCACACTGAGTCAGCTGCTTGCTTCCCCACGTGGATTTACCCCAACAACTGGTGCCCAAACAGGGACTGGGAGCTGGACTCTGGACCCGGAGGGAAACAGGACTGCGCGGCGCGGCCGGAGCGCCAGTGGCACCGACCGGAGGGCAGAGGTTGCCTAGACTGACCAAAAGGGATCTGCATGGTCCAAGGAGGGCTCCGTGGGAGAAACAGCACCGTGCCATCGCGGCCGGGCACGGGGTTAAATCCAGACATCGCTCACGGCG